CCAGCTACACCACATAGTTCCCAGGTGACAATAACCTGTTTCAGGTTTGGTTTTGTTGTGTTTTTTTTGGTACCAGGAATCAAACTCAGGACTTGCACTTGCCAGGCAGGAGTTTATGCCACTGAGCTAAATCCCTGGCCTGACAATAACCTATTTCAAACCAGGATAATTAGTAAACTCTGGACTCTACCTTGTGGTTATTTTAGGGAACCCAAAGATAAAAAAGGAAATATGCAAGCCCTTGCCTTACCTGTTAATGTCAGAAACTATTCACATTATATGGGTGAGTGTCACAAATAACATTCACAACAAACAAAAATCCAATTGGAAGTATAATTTGTTATCTCATTCAGGTGAGAAAATATCTCATCATACTAAATCTGCTTAATTCTTTCTCAAGATTAAACTTCTGTTGTGTCACAGTTTTTCACAGCTCCTTGAGTCATGTTTGATCTGTCCTGCACAGGGAGATTTGTGTCTTTTCTACTAATGTTTCTTGAGATTGTGATTCTCCACCATCCATCTCTTTGTCTGATAAGAACAGCATAAACCCTCAGAAGCCAGACCCACACCTGGGTGGGATGGAGAGTCCTCAAAAAATAAAACTAGAAATCCCATTTGACCCGGCTCTGCCTGCCCTGGGTACCTCCTGGAAAGAGTTAAAGATACTGTATTACAGTGATAAATGCACACTGTGTTCATAGCAGCTTCTAATAGCTAAATTGTGGAAGTGGCCTATCTGTCCAGCAGGAGATAAATGGATAAGGAAAATGTGGTGTTTATACACAGTGTCCTACGACTCAGCCGTAAGGAGGATAAATTGGAGTCATTTATAGGAAAGTGGATGCACCTCAGGGCTGCTGTGCTCAGTGAAATAAATCAGCCCCGGAAAGCTGATTACCACATGATCCCTCTCACACGAGAAACCAAAAGTATCAATAATTTAAAAAGCAAAATGAAAGGGAGGTGATGGGAAACAGGGAGACAGATTTTTTTTTTTTTTTTTTTTTTGAGATAGGGAGACGATTTGAGAACAGGAAAGGAGAGGAATGCAGGGAAGGAAAGAACGATGTGATGTATATAGGTACCAGTTTCCCCCAAATAATGTAATTGTTGTGTAATGCAACTATATACTAATAAAATGTGCTGTTAAATAACAGCAGGGTGTAGTTAAGTGGCAAAGTATGTTCTATTTATTTATTATGGATCCAGAAATCAAACTCAGGATCTTGTGGGCAAAGCATGTACTTAACATGCATGACCCCCCAACCCCCAAACACACACTGAATAGTGGCCCTGTTTATCCAGGAGCACCTAACCTAATCTCATGAAGTAACTATCCTGGGAACACAGACACTCTTACCTTAGATGTTCTGTCAGTTAAGAATTAATGTTTCACTGCAAGTGATACAAACCTGAACTAGGGCTTAACCAGCCTGGGTGTGCCTTCTTCTAACACATACAAGGAAGTTCAAGGTTCAAGGTGTTGTCTAAGACCCACACTAATTATGACTTTCATTCAGCTTTCATGCTATCCTAATAGTGAGGCCCTGGGCGTCATGCCCAAGGTGGTTGCCAGAGCTCCAGTTATCACACCTGCATACATCTTGTAAATGTTTGACTAGTAACAAAGGACCAAGAGAAAAATGCTGATTTTTGTCCTTTGCCCAAAGAGGTGCTTTCCTGAGTGCTCCTCCCAAACACTCTGCTGCCATCTCATTGGCAAGAATTGAATCCCACAGCCTCTTGACCTATCTGAGAAACAAAGTAGCTTTTTCGCTTCTTTTTTTTTTTCAGCTGAGAGCATTGCTGCCCCCATAAAATTAGGGGTTCTAGAGTACGAATATAGAGTGTGATAGCATGTAAAAAGCAGCCTCAGCCAGGGGCCATTTTGTTTACTCCCACAACTACCTATAATGTAGTCATCTCTATATTTGCTTTTGACTCAAATCATGAACAATAAAGACAAAAAACCCTTATGCACTGTCTTTCTCACTTTCATGCTATACAAACACACACTCCAGGGGACAGAGCAGTGAGGAATGAATAGAATGCAAAAAACTGACAGCTAAATAAATCACAGTGCATCTATAGGATGGAATACTCTGTAGCCGGAGAAGCTTAAGGAAGTATACAGAAGAACATGCAAAATATGTTAAGTGAAAAATAAGCTTACAGTATAAAGTGTACAGGATACATAATACTGATTTTAAAAGATTATGTGCCACAGATACATAGTATATATATTCCAGTTCAGATAAACACACACGCACCCATAGGGGTAAGATGACTGGAAATACCAAAATGTTGATGGTCATTGTCTTTATCAGGGGGAAACAGTACAAAATTTTAACTTTCTCTTTTGGGTTCTTCTGTATTTTCTTTTGTTTCTGTAATAAATTTATTGTTTTTGTTTTGTATAAACAACCTTCTTAAATTTTATTTAAAAATCATTAGCTTTATTTCAATGAGAGAATATTCTAAGATAAAGCCAAGTTATCCTTTTTTTTTTTTTTTTGGTAGCAAACCAATATGACATATCTGTGTATTTTTATAAGATGGGATTTATTTGGTTGCAAGGATTTAGTTTTACGAATTTTCAAATACAACCCCAAGGGGCTGGGGATTTAGCTCAGCAGCAGAAGCACCTGCCTTGCAAGTGTGTGGTCATGAGTTCGATCCCTGGTATGGATAAAAAAGAAAAAGACAAAACCACACACACACACACACAACCCTAAATCTATTAATGAGGTAGGGGCGTCATGAGATTACTACTGGTTTTCTTCCTAACTTTCAAACTCAGCATTCTTTAAATGATCCCATGATTTTTACAGTTTATAAACTCTTGTTATACAGTACTGCAAAGGTCTATCAAATATTTAGGAATTTAATTCTGTTCATCAAAAGAAATTGACCATTTTTGTTATCTATTGCTGCATTAAAAATAAGCCCAAAACGTATCAGCTCAAACCAACAACCACTGTCCATTTCTGGGGTCAGAAATCCAGGTTCAGTCTCACTAAAGTCCTTTGGCTCAAGGTTTCTTACCAATGGCTGTAATCCGGAGTCATCGAGGCTGCAGTCATTTCCATGTCCTGCTCATTTCCCTCATGGTCAGTACTGTCTGCCCCTCCCAGATTGTCAGAGGAAGGCTGTCAGAGTTCTGCTAGCTGATGACCAGAGACCTGCCCCTGGGGCTGGGGAGACAGTTCATTAACTCAGCCAGTGTGAGCTTTGAGAGACCACGAGAGGGACAGCAAAACAGAAGCCAGAGTTCCTCAGTTGTCTCATCTTGGTGGTGACCCCCACCATGGTCTGAATGTCAATATCTTCCCCAAATGCTTGTCCTGCAAGCTAACACCTAGTGTGATAGTATTAAGGTGTGGAGCCTTTGGGGAACTAATTGAGTCTGAAGAGCTCCTCCTTCATCAATAGGGTTACTTTGGGGCACAAGAAAAGAGACAGAGAGGTGCGGCCTTGTGCTTTTCACCACGAAGCAGAAAACAAATTCTCACCAAATAGCAAATCTGCTGGCGGCTCAGTCTTAGACTTTTTCGTCTTCAGAACTGTAAGCAATGCTCTCCTAGTGTTTAATTTACCTGGTCTATAGTATTTTTGTTAGAGAAGCCTGAACGGACTAAAGAAACAAACCACTAAGTCCAACCCACACTCTTGGGACAGATACCAGGAGGCCAGCATCCATGGGCTGCCAAGCACACTGGTCGAACGATAGCTTCCTGCATTCTTATTTCAAAGCAGCAATGCAAAGTTCTACTGGAGAGAGATACAAAAATCTGCTTGACATTTCTGCCAGGGTGTACCTCTATGTGTTGGGGAGAAATATGATTTTAAGAGTCAACAAAATGATACTCAAGCACATCTAAACTCAAACTTTTGAACCCCTACAGTGGATAAATAACCTCTGTGATTCTTGCTGTTTTTGGAGGTAGAGTGGCTCGATTTGTACAGCACAGGTCGGTTCCCCTATTGTGAGACACAGATTGAGTGTGAGGTGCCCCTAGGTTCCTGCAGAGGGAAAGCAGAACAATGGCCTTCCTCTCTACTCTGCCATGGGACAAGGATTGGAGCTGAGGAGTGCTTTACCACTGGGCACCTCTTCGGCAGGCCACTTAGCATGGGCTAGCATGAATGAGGAGATGCAGTCCTGCTGAGGGAGCTTGTGTCCTGGGTGCCAAGGAGCAGGGAGGGTGGGCTTGGGAGCCTGGACAGGGGGTTCTGATTGTCGTAGCTTCCAACTCAGCATTATCCCTAAATCTCTGTATTCATATTTATTCAATCCTCCTGTATCAATTGGGGTTTTCTAGAGGAACAGATGTAATAGTAAGGATTTACAAGGTAGGTTTATAGTGGTTGCACAAGAGCTTGGTGAAAGAAGCAAAAGGGAAGACTTCTTTCTTTCCCTTTTTATTCTACACCAGCTACAAGCCTATTGGTTGGTGCCACCCACATTGGGGTGGGTCTTCCCTCTTCAGTTTGTCAATCATCTACAGACACACCCAGAACTGTGTTCCACTAATCCTATAAGTGTTTCCCAATCCATTTAAGTTGACATCACAATTTGATAACACAACTATCATACCTTCTGTTTGCAGCCAATGTCTCCTTCAAGAACACGTAATCTAGCTGCTGGGTAATGATATGACAAAGTATGTATGATAAGAAACATTACATTGACTTGCAGTTTTTTAAATAAATTAAAAACTATCATCATCACAAGAAATGTCAGCATTATGATGGTCAATAAAGGAAGATATGTTCGCCTTCAAATATGTTTTGATTGACAGTGAACTTCTGAATTACTGCCTCCAAAAGTTTTCACTTTTTCTTCCACCCACCTGTGTACAGCTTCTCACACATGCAGGTTATACAGGATTTGAAGAATTCTTCACTGAAGGGTATTGAGAATTACATGTAGTCATTTCAAGCATAAATCACCATGTAAACTAATTCTGTTTAGGGAGCAAGATGAAGCTCATCACTGATATGTCAAAACATTTTATTTGGAAATCTAAGATGAATTCAACATCTAATATCTCTACTTATATTTTTTATTCTGCATATTTACCATAGTTATAATATAAGATATGATAGATATTTTTTCCCAAGCTTCATAGAACCCCAAATCTCCTCCATTTATCCCAAGTTCAATATGAGCTATGTTCCAAAGAAAGTTTGGGAAGCTTTGCTTTGTAGCAAGCTGTGTTGATTAGCTATCTGTTATGTTACCTTATTTAATCTTTGCTGTTACCTTACTTGGTATCTCAGATTCATACACACCCTTTTTATTACCTACTCTATACTGCTTAACGTTGGAGATCTGGAGGTCGCAAGTTGCATTTCTCACATTCCTTGCCAGTGGCTTCCTGTTAGTATCTGCTAATCCCAAACTCCGGGCAAGACTGGAAGATGGAGCAAGAGAGAAACTTTCTACTTCTAAAAACAGCTGTAGCTGCTGTTGCAGCAGTGAGGGTGGCATAACTGCAAATTCAGCAGCCTCAGCAGTGGAAACTTTTTGTTACTTGCACTATGAGCTAGGGAGGGGCAATTCTGAAAATTCAGTCCCTGAAGCAACAACAGCATTTGCTGCTCAGAAACAAGATAATAGATGCGAGCCCAGAAGCATTAGGGGCTTCCAGATGGCACCACGTCACCAGCCCTTGCTGTTCCTTTGTAAACAATTCCCTGTGTTAAATTCCTCATGTTTGAAATACCTACCATGGTCTCTGCTTTCCTTACTGAATCTGGAGTAGTGTGTTGACTTCTGTGTAAGGAGGAAGTAGTTTTCTATTCTCACCACCTAGCAAGGGAGATGTGGAATGGGACTCAGGCAGCCCAGGCCCATGCAAGCATGTAAAAGATGTCACTTCGGGAAGGGATGAGGAGAGGGCACTGAGCACGGGCAGTGCACCAGGGAAAACACAGCAGAGCAGCAAATTGCTTTCAGATGTCCTGGGTGAGCTCTTAAAACCACTGCAAGTGTGTATTCCCTAGAAGAAAACACCTCCTTCAAGATTTATATTGGAGTGAGACAGAGACATTCCTTTATGGGTAAACTCTAACAATCTCACCTCCTAGTTACAGTCTATACTTTTCTTTAGTGTTACCTTACTTTGTATATCTAGCAGCTTTTCATCTCTTTAGAAGATGGTATCTGAATGGCATTTTGAATTCATTCATCCAGATGCAGCTTGAATTACAAAAGTCAAATCTATGAAACCACAGAGGAACCTGTGAGTCTTGGTGTGTGTCCTTTCTCTTGGTTCACCTGTCAGTGAATGAAAGAGGAGATTTCTTCATCTCGTATTTGATCTAAGATGAGCAGAATAAAATATCTTAAACTACACATGTCTAGAGAGGCATAAAAATAGCTTCTTTTTCAGACTCTCCGTCTGTATTAACTGACTAGCTGCATTGCATGATAAGTATAGCATTTCCAAAAATGTCAACTATCAGATAGAAAATCATGTGACAGTCTCACATCTCAATTCCTCAAATAGCTGTAGAAAAGGCAAACACAACCTGCATTAATCACCTGCATAAGGTGGCTTGCATTTGCCTGTGTGCACCCAAGCTTTGCTGAACAGGACCACACAAGCCAGAAGCCTCCCACTGCTTTGTAATGCACAAGGCCACATCTGCTTCGTAATACAAGAGGGTGATTGATCAAGAGCCTAACAGATCTCTCCACTCTCTCCTTCCTTCCTGGAGGCTGTGTGACAAAGAAGCCTAAGGAAAGGCTTCAGCCTGGAGACACTGGGTAGGGTAAGGTGCGCCGACGACTGAGAGGAAAAGCCAGTCCTATAATCTTTTTCTGCAACTTATCTCGACTGTCATTGTAATGAAATTTCTCCCCGAAAAAGATGTGTTTTATTTTTGAATCCCAAATTATCCATTTCTAGGCATGGGCTATGAAACATTTCACCCTAAGTCAGAATGTCAAGTGCGGCCCATCTTTCTCACTGATTGGCCGTGTGAAGCACTTACTCCTTTTGGAGTTATTGTGGAATCTGTGTTTTAAGTGACATTTAGTGCAGTGGTGTTACCTTACTTTGTGAGGCTTATTCAGTAGCTGGACAGTGGTGCGCTGCGGAAGAGAGTTCATGTTGAAATATGAAGCTTTCCATTGATTCTAATCTTAATGCAATCACACTTTTCTTTCTGAACTCTCTTTCCTTAATAATTCCAGCCAGAGATCTCATTAAACCTGAAGTCATATAAATATTCTTTGGCAATATGCTTTCTCTCTGAGTCTCTCTGTGTCATACTGTCAATTTTATGCTTGACATTAATATGCATACGACCGAATTTCCCAAAACCTCTTCCATGGTTATTTTTATGCCACCTTTCTTTACACATTTCTTGTACTTTTCTGCTAGGTTTGTGCAGGAGTCTGTGTGACAGCAGACATGAACTAAGAGCTTTGTGTCTCTTTAAGGTCATCCTCATTTGAAGTTCTGCATTATCAGGCTAGATCTGCTGTGAACAGGGAAGAAACACCTGCCTCAACTTGCAGGCCAGCCCTGATTTCAAAAGTTGTCCTAATCATGAGCACGTCAGAGTGATTTTAAACTCAGAATTACCCAACAACAGTCTGCAGGGACTGCCGGGAAGTATATTCTGTCTTCTTTAACACCAGTAAGTTTCAGAGTCCTTTTGTACCAACCCTAGCTCCAGAGGAACAGCTGAATCCAAGGACCTTGCTGTGCTGACGCCCTTTACCTTTCCTTTGTGAGAGCTGACCTTTGCACTCTCTGGTCACAAAGTAGTTAAATATGTGCTTGCTTTTTTCTTGGCAGGCATCGCTGAGAAAAGTTTTTGATTGGAAGCAGGGTGGTCACAAAGTAGAAATGGAATCCACAGGTCTGGGAGTTGGAAGTTGGGATCTTCAGAAAGAGTGGGGTCCAGCTAGGGCCAGAGGATTCACTGGTAAATGAGAAAAAAATTGTAAGAATTTTCTATATCTATCTCTATCTCACCCTTTTTAAAAAGGTGGTATTTACACACTATGGAGTATTATTCTACCATAAATATACTTGAGTCCTTTGTAATGGAAAATGGATGCATCTTGATACCATAACGTTAAGGGAAATAAAATCAGACACACAAGTTTAAATAACTCATAGTTTCTCTTATATGAGAAACCTAAATTACAAATAAACAGCAAAATAAAAGATAGATAATAGAAAGTAGGAAGACAGATCTTTCTCAGATGGGGAGGGGATTAAGAGATGGGTGAGAGGGACAGAGGGGAGGGAAAGAAATAGATGTAAAAGAAACAAAGATGTGTTATGTACACAGAGCAACTCCACACCAGGTATATAAACATGTGTTACAAGCATACTAGTAAAATAAATAAGAAAAAGCAAGGAAATTGCCATTCATATGGGTGTTTTATGATGTACACAAAATTTACACAAAGTGCCAGTAAAATAAATACACACAATAAAAGAAAGATCCAGTATTTTAATGAAACATAATCCAGGACACTTGGAGACTTCTAGTTCAGCGCACACAGCTTACGAGCTATGCATCATGGATTTGATCTCACAAGAATAAAAGCTCTTGCCAAGCATTTCTTGCAGCTGCTGTTTAGCAAAGTCCATTGATCCAGCTGAAAGGAGAAAGGAGAGGGAGCCTCGATCATCTTTTCAGAGCTACACAGCGAAAGGAAAATGAGATGGCAGAAATCTGTTTTTACTGTGGAGGAACAGAGGGTAAGACATTAATCCTTCCTCGAGGAGGCAGACTGGGGAGTTTGTGTAGTAGAAGCTTCTCAAAAGAAGATTGGCGTTGAAAACAGTGATAGAATCTTGATGTTAAAAGATGAGCAAGCAAAGGAAGAAATGGCTTACGTAAAAGCAAAAGGAGGCAAAAATACAAGACTTCTTTGGTGGGCAGTGAAGGAGTCGCATGGCTAATAGGCACTGTACGCTGAGCCGAGGGAAGAAGACTGGTGTAGCGGCCGAGCTGGATCATGGAGGCCTTCAATTTTGCTGGAAAGTTCAACATCAGTCTGAAATCAGTGAGGAAAACCTGAAGTTGTTTTGTCTTTAAAGCTAGAAACTCACTTTTTCTAAAGATTACATTAGGAAGATTAATGGCAGCAGTGTATATCAGTGTGCACGAGAAGAGAGCAACCAAGGAATCGATGCAATTGTCCAGATGGAAAATATAATGGCTTAAATGACAGTGAGGACACTGGGGAGAAGGGAGAGGTCATGTTCCGGAGACATAACAGAGAGAGATTCGGAAGGACTTAGTCAGCTGCATGGGGGGCTTCGATTCTGAGGCTCTAAGACGGGGGGACTGGAAGATAGCTGGATGTGGAGCTGAACGTCTTGGGCAAGAGACACAGCAGGGTTGGCCTCAGTCAGGTTTTCTGAGAGGATGGAGATTTGCATGTAGAAAGTTCACTGAGGAGCTTGATGTTTGCAAGGAGAACCCAGAGGACTCAGCATACTCCCAGGTATGATTTATGATGGCAAAAGGAGAAGAAGAAAAGCCCTGGAGGGAAGCACACAGAAGAGGAAATCTAGGCGAAATCAGGCACTAGCTTCTAAGTGTCCTCTCTCAGTGGAGTCACACAGGGTGTATGTGGTAACACCCAGGACATGATGTCTACCTGGGGACTCATTAGGGGCTCAGTGTCTAAGGATTTTAGGGGGGCTCGTTCTGTAGGTATTCTTGGCCAGGCAGATAGCAAATTCCAGCTGCTCAGAAGGAAAGTACGTGTTCAGCATGAGCCACGGTGTATCACAAACAGTTTAGGCACACGAGCTGCTCGTATCGGTTCTGGAATGGGAATGGTATGAATCCTACTGAGATCCAAGTTCAGGTGCCAGCCAAGGGCCAAGCTTCTAACCGAATGGTGCAGGAGACAGCATCAGAGACAGCTGCACTAAGTGTCAATATGGGTATGCATGGAGGACCACCTGGACAGCCCTCCTTGGAAGAAGGTTGGAAAGAAGCCCTTCCTTCTGTGCGCGCTAAACCTTGCCCTAATTCTGTATTGATAAGTACAGAGCTGAGTAGGATAATGCTTTACCTGTTCAACTGGCTTTAAGAAATGCAAATGGGTCTATCAAAGGCACTGAGGTATAACCTTTGATGCAATTCCATGGGTTAGTGATGCCATGCTTATAACTCCCAACTAGTATGCGTGAGGCTCCAGAAAGAGCTCCTGATGTCTTAGGACAGAAAGGTCAGACATCAAAGCTGAGGCACCGACCAAAATCACAAAATACTTCCTCAAACTGTCTTATGTAGATCCCTCCAAACCTACAGGCTACCTGTTACCCACATCCGGTACCCTTTCTACACTCTCTGCATATTGCAGAAATGCTATGGAGCCTCCTGTCTCGCCCAGCTCACAGTATTCACGGCATTCCCACCATTCTCGCTGTCACTCAACCCCAAGCCACGCCCCTCTTCAGGAATTAATAAAACCCAGGTTAATAGGCCCTGGGTCAGGGCCCTTGTTCCCAGCCAGCTGTTGTTCCAACTTGACTCAGGACCCCCGTGGCTCTCCACCGCTGCAGATATGTGTTTGTCTCCTTGTGGATCACACTGGAAGTGGTAGATTGGAATTTACTTATTCAAATTCCAGTAACTTTTCCCTGGAATTACAAATGTGGACCACTTCAGACCATGACAAGTCTAAAGTGGGCTCTCTCCAGGGTGAGCCTAGGAGTACCATTCATGTGAAGGGTGGGAAACCGGGCTGGGTAGAGGGAAAATGATCCAATGAGCCACTGCAGCAAAGACCATGGGCAGTGCCACAGTGGGCTGTTGGTCAGGGTGGCTCCTCGAAGGGGGTATAGATGCAGGCTGGGGCGCAGGCCTCTTTACTGTTATATCACCTCTCTTAAACTGAAGGAAGTAACTTCCAAAGCAATTCCAAAGGAAGGCAGCAGGGATGGAGCAACCTTCCAGAAGGCTGGCCATGAGTGCTTTGATTCTATGGTCAGCATACTTTGGCATCCACTGGGAGGGTATAGTGAATTCAGTGTTGCTGGTTGCATAAATAATTCTGCTACTCCTCTGCTGATGATATCCAACCACTGTGAAGATGATGGAATTCTAGTACCAGAGATTAAAGTTCTGTATGTTCTAAATACTAGCACTAAGTGTATGTGGGACAGGATATTTGACATCTAAGAGCCTACAGACCGGGCCTAACTTTTTTCTAGAAGGCGATATGGAGACTTCACTGTCCCAATCCCATTACCAATCCTATTAGCCACTTGGAGGAATTCTACCCTGAATGCTTTCCTCACCACAAAGGAACGAGCTCTGCTCCCACACGAGGTGGCATACTATGCTTTACTTGGGAAAGTACCCAGTTTCCAAGTAACAACACTCACAGTGTTATTCAGACACTATGCTGTCTGATGTCTTGCTTTGGGGATCTCTATTAAAAAAATAGATCCTCTTAGAGTGCCTGTAAACTCAGGCCAAAGCATCACAATTCTTATCACAGAGATCGAGACTTTGTGGTCACACGATGACCCTGGAATCCTGCTGTCTGGAAGAGTGGATTCTGGCCAAGGTCTGGCATTCTTTCTACTGGCTCACACATCTCCTCTCCAAATCTCTCTCCTAAAAGACAGAGCTGGGACCCTGAATGTGCTTCAGAGAAATTGGAAAAACATTTTGATGAACAAAATTAAAATTTTAAAGGTATCTAACTTGTTTGATTTAGACCAGAAAACTAGGATCACTAGCAAATGCAACACTAACAGACAACAAATTCACAAACAAGGAGATTTTGAAAATGTACAATGCCTTGCTTTGGGAATTCTAATATCCTGCTGCATGAGAGATTCTGTTGATTTTGGAAACACCATGAATCATTTCCTGAAAGAGCAAATAATGGCAGCTTTTTATTCCAAGTTTCCAAGAAGTGTTGTCTAAAGGCAGAGCCCTCTGGGAGTATCAGAGTGTGCACAGAGGCCTGTGAGGGCCCTGCTCAGGCCTGCATCTTTCCCCTAACTCCAGACACCTACAGAACTTGGGAAGCCACTGTGTCCTGGCAGGCACTGACTTCCTGCCAGGCAGTCACATAGTAAAGGATAAGGTTCCTTTCTCTTCATTCATTCTCACAGACTCCATTGGTCAGGAAAACATCGCTCTGATAGTCGTGGAGGTGTGTCAAGATCTAGAGACCCAATCTTCAAAGCATCACTGAGCATTTTTGCAACAGCAAGCAGAAACATGGAAACAAAACCCAGGATTTGGAGGCAGATTTATTTACACCCCAGAATATCAGCCCCTGATCTCTGGTGGTCAAGGGTTTATACTGAGCAAGCAAACAGGAAATACAGAGGCAGAATGGCTTGTCAATTGGGGACTGGTTTATACAGTGTGCATCACAGTGTCCAGCTGTTTCTCAGAGACAGAAGCAACAGGAACTGGGACAGGAACTGTTACCTGGACAACTAGGAAACTATACTGGCCAGTGGGGGCGGGTCCTGTTACATTTTCTTATCAGGGAATTTCCAGGGTAGTCAGCACTTCTGCTCTCAAGAGCCCTACAAAAAATGCAGAAGTGTCTGCCAACTGCAGGAGAGATTACCAGCAGCAGCAAAGCCAGAAAGCAGCCTGCATTTCCACGGTGAGCCTCTCAGGTATGCCCTTGGTCTTTTAGCCCTGTGTAACTCAACCCTAAAAATTTGCCCCAAGTCAAAACCTGAGGAGAGAAGAAACATTTGAAAGCTGGGAGCATAAGACTGAAATTGGGCTGGGATCATTTCTCACAGGAATGTCTTTTTGAAGTTCACTCTAAGACATAAAATTATGGGAATTCTGTAGCAGAACACTCTTTATCCAGCAGTCACTGAGTTACACAGAAGCAGTAACAATGGATTGAAACCATTCCTAATTTAGTTGTCAAATCTCCAATTTCTAGCACACAGCTTTTGCGAACATCAAAATTTAGCCTTTTCAGTTCCACTCCTGTTATCTATTTGTATCTCTACACTATTTTGTTATTGGAGAGAAGGCAAAGGTTTTGACCTTTCATAGTTACATTTGGCAGTAATTTCTTTTAAACAAAAGTTTCTGAGATGTTGAGAGCTTTGTCCCTTTTTTGAAAAGAGTAGAATATAATAGGACCCAAGGGTCAACAGCTGTGACAGCAGTAATTGTTCACCATAAAAACAGTAGAAGACTGACATGTGAACTCAGTTTAAGATTACCACGAGATGGATTTTTATATTGATCATTTTCACCTGTGTCTGCCGCGCCAGCCAGGTATCTAAAAAGAGGATGGATGGGGCTGGTGGGAGCTTCAAGTTTTTTTACAAACTCCAGTGAGGCCTCTAGTGGTTGATAAGGCTTCCACAGCCTTCTGGGTAAGGTGCTACCTGTATCCTTAAAGTGACATGGCCATATGTTTCTTACAGTGATCTGCGTCTGAGTTTGATCAGTTCTATGTAAGCAATGAACAGCTCTGCATGCCTGCAGTATGCAGGATGTTGGCATTATAGAAACAGATAAACACTCCATCCACACATCACAAACCTAAAATGCTTAGCTGGTACTTACAAAGATCCTAACACCCTGGCAGTGTGCAAAAAGCTGAGTAAAATAGCAACTTTTAACGAGACAACCAGCTTTTGTATAATGACACCGAAGCATTTTACAAACCAATTCATTTCAGGGAGGGTCAAATAATTCACAGAATTATGGAATCAAGAGTTATAAGAAGTCAGTTTAATAGGGGCGTGGTGGCACATGCCTGTAATACCAGCACTTAGGAAGCTAAAGCAGGAGGATCATTGCAAGTTCGAGACCAGCCTGGGCTACAAAGTGAACTCAAGGCCAGTCTGAACCCTACGGTGAGACTCTGTCTCAGAAAGACAAAAAACAAACAAACAACAAAAAAGTCTACTTAGCCCTGAACTCTCAGGACACCCTTCTAAAGCCAGTGACTCACCACCTGTTCATTTCAGCCAACACTCCAGCCAGCTGGGGGATCTTCTCATTGTCTAGAAGTGCCCCACTTCAGAAACCCTGGATTCCAGGACTGCTCTCAGAAAGCAACCTCTCCTGCCACACCCACAGCTGCCTGCTGACCAGCTGGCTCCTGGCCCCTGATGTCGGCAGCCTCACCCCTCAAACTCCAGGCGGACACGTCCGATCCCCCAGCCTCCTGCTGCACGTGGAGCTGTGCAGTGTCTCCTCTAGGTGACTTGATCTGTGCTGTCCGTCATTAGGCTCCCCAGTGTCTATTCACTGAGCCATCTCTGAGAATCACCCTGCCTGCCTTCCCTCTGGAATGTCTCTCCCTCTCAGGCAGCCCCCTCCTTCTTTGACTTCCCACGCACTGGGCTGATGCAGCCCGTGGGACAGAGCCTGACCATCCCCTTCATTCCTCTCTTCCCCGCCCATGAAGTCACGCAGCCTGGAACACCTGCAGTGATGAATCATTTTCTGTAACTGTGTCCTCCTTCCCCGAGCGTGCATTCCAGCATACAGCTGCTCTTCGGCTCCTGATGGGGTTATAGCCCGAGGAGGCCATCAGTTAAAAATAATGTAAGTCAAAAGTGCATTTAATACACTTAGTTTATGGAACGTCAGAGCTTAGCCTAGTCCACCTCAAATGTGCTTGGAACACTTCACATTAGCCATTGGTTAGGTAAAATCATCTAACAAAACCGGAAGTATAGAATATGTAATTTGTTGATCACTGTACTGAAATTGAAAAGCAGAATCATTGTATGGCTACTCACATTAACACACAGCTCAAAAGACCATTGTGAAGTGGGAAAATCACAAGTCCAACCCACCCAAAATCAGGGTCTGCTTGTGCCCACCTTCAAAGTCTCTGCTGCTGTTAGTGTCAAGGTCTTGGGCCACTTACTGAACTTTGTAAGCTTCAGTTTTCTTGTTTTGCAACATCATGTTTTAACAAGGTTGACATGTAACCTTGCACAGGGCTGGACAGACAATAAATGCATGCTAAATGCATGTCATGGGAGCACCTTCGATTGCTCCCGAAAGGAAAATATTCACCCCTGAAGCACTTGTGGTGACAGGGATGTAACTAAAGCCACGGTGGCTTGATTCATGTTGGTGTTATTGTCGTAAATTCCCTGCTTTTTTCAGGAATCTGACTCTCAGGTGCTTTCCTGTATATTCAGGAACCTCTTCTTCAGCCCAGCTGCTTGCAGTGAGGGTGTCATTGTCCCCACCACCACTAGCCCCGCAGGGCTCCTCTCAGCCAGCATCCCCAGACCACCTGCCACCCAGGCTTGGCTCTGCTGTGGTCCTGGACCTTTCCCCTCTTGTTTCCTTCAGGATATCAGAAGTCAAAGTATTTGAGACATCGACCATATCACAACAAAGGGTAGGGACAATCATGCCAGGGAAACAACCGAGAGAGTCAGTCCATGCCAGAGTCCAGGCCCTGTCCCTCTAGGAGGAAGCACCTAGGGCCTAGGAGTGTCCCTGCCCCTGACCTTGGCAGAGGACAGCTGGCAGCCAGCAGTTCCAATCCCCCGGAGGAACCCCACCCGCATGATCAGGGTGACTCACGGCCAGCGCATTTCCCCTAAGACGCATCATTCAGACTCCCGTTGCCACTGTGTCCTCGAGGAACACAGTGGCTGCCATTATGGGCCCACTGAACAATCCTGGTTCCTAGGAAGCACAAACACAAAGTGATTTCATTTTTCTCTGATCCCTACAGGGCCACAGTCTCTCTATTGTGTCCTTTGGACCACTCTCAGGGACAAAAGCCCAATCGAGTGTAATTCACTGGAAAATGCCACTCTTGGTCCAGTACAAGGACCACATCCTCTCCCCAGCCTCGGAGTGGGGTGGTGCAGACCTTCTTCCTGGGGCTCCTCCCCTGTTACCTGGCTTCCTCCTCTGTATGTGGAGCTGAGAAGACAGACAGGTGGACAAGTGCCTCTTACCTACCTGAGTGGCGAGGCCTGCTTAGTCCATGCTGGCCTCACTGGTGCCTTCTGTATGGCAGACATCCAAACCCTGGCTTCCTCCTTGGTACTTATGCATATTTTCCAGACACCCCACAAGGAACCTCCCCTTTATTGTGTCTGCCGCCTGCTTCTTCCCCAAGTGATTCACTCTCCCAGCAGGCGGTTCTCTCGGATGGGAGAAGGTTCAGGCTCAGCCATCCGTGTATACACGGACCGGAGGCAGGTGGAATCCATGAGACAGGTGGACCCACAGGGCAGATGAGACCCATAAAGCAGGTGCTACCCATGAAAGCTGCGAACGCACAGCAAGTTCAACCACTTCCTGAAAATGTCCTTCAAGCAATGTCTGATCCTGTTTGCTTCTTACGGTTGTATATTGCATAGCAATGTTTCTGCCCCTGCTGGGCTCCATGTACACTGATGCCCCTGTAAGATCACAGTGGAGCAGAACATTCCTGCCCTCTAATGACATCACAGCTGTTTTAATGTCACACTGCAAGGTGTCACTCACATATGTGTGTGCAGTGTCGCTGATGGTAAGCAAATCCCCTGTGCTGACAGTCACATAAAAGTGAGCACATATAACAATGCACAGCTCATTATGGTAACAAACGATTATATTACTGCTTTATGAATGGCTGTATCACTGTTTTACCGTTATTTTATAGCATATTTTCTTTTCTAAAAGCAGGTGAGTGTTAAACAGCAAACAGTGTCACACAGGAGCAGACTCGTGTATCTCGTGTTTCCCAAGGCTCTTGATTGTATCACTGACTTGATTTAATCTCATGTTGCTTTGTCCCCGTGGCCCCGGAAGCAGTAAGCTGGATCATACGTAGATATATCTATATCCACATGCATGCACCATGAAGTCTAGCTGTTTCACAGGCTATCACACCTACATTTGTGTAAATACGCTCCATGATGCTCACATGATAATGACAAAATCACATAATGATGTATTTCTTGCAATGCATTTCTGTTGTGAAGCAACACACAAGTGTATTTATTGTTTGGTTCTTTACTCTCAGCTTTGGATTCCAGTAGTCAATTCCAGAAAACCAGGAAAATACCCAAGTCATTGTGTGATAACTTCTAAACACTGCACATCATATGAGAATCTTTAAGAGGTGCCTAATGTCATGGGAGCCCCCAACCCCTACACGGTTACCTTTTTTTATTGCGAGGAAGTAGTTGCTCAGAGAGCTTAAGTACATTTCCAAGATGGCACACACTGTAATGGGAGCCCCAGGACTTGGCCCCTGTGCCCCATCCCTACCGCTCTTGTTAAATGTCTCTCGTGGAGATCTTCTCAGGGTTGAGTTGAGTACGGTACCCTTGGATTTTTAAATCTCCTAGCCCTGAATTCGGCCTCTGGAGCCACACTACAGAAATCTCGTTCCTTCTACATGCCGAGAGTTTGGCCACTTCAGGTTTCCGTCCAGATAGTTAAGGACAGTCACTGTGGTTCTTGCCTTCCTTTCCCCAGGATGAGCATCTACATTTCCTTCACCCGATTCTCCCAAGCATCAATGCCTGCTATTTTCCTCCGTGTTTGTTTCTGTTTTCTCTCTCCCTCTCCTACCTCTAGCTCCTGCTTTCTGTCACTCTCTCCCTTCAGTTTCAGACTTGTAGAGAAGCTGTTAAATGAAATCTTCCCGTTGGGCCTCAAAGCTTTTGGGCCTAGCCCAAGTCAAAGGTCTGTGTGCTCCCGGCTGGAGGTGAAGAGGAAGGGCTTCCCAGATTCTTTTACTATGATCCATTTCTGATCCTGCTCTTCCAGAATGTGCTTGCTCAAGGCTAAGCGTGGCCCCACACTTCTGTAATCCCAGCTACTCAGGAAGCTGAAGCAGGAGGATCCCAAGTTCCAGGCCAGCCTGGGCAAAATCAGGCCACTTCACAGTGTTCATATGTCTGTGTGTTTCTTTTGCACAGTCATTCTGGACAGGACTCATTCTTCAGGCACTGGATCCCAAGTTCCGGGACTTGGCTTGGGCATCCCCTTCGCCCAGCTCAGGGCCCCAAGAGGCCACTACTCCAATTAGAAGAGGCACTGTCACAAAATCCAATAGGGGAAGATAATGGGCTTTTTCCCTGGTACCTCAGATCCTAATTTTACACCATCCTGACACAGGGGCCTTCGAAACAGACACACATTGGGTCACTCATGTCTATGAAGCCTTGCGTTTGGGTGTTAGGACTGTCACTGTTCCCTCCTCCACTGGTCCATCACTAACCTCACTGGTGATAACTCCAGACCTCATTTTACCCAGCGGTGCTTTCTAGGCTCAGCTCACCACGTGACAGCCGGGCTTTGCTCCATGTAGAGCTCACTGAGAGCCGAACAAGAGCCTCAGGAAAAGTCAGTGTACAACAAATTAAGGACCAAAGCAGGCTTTTATCCATCCTTCAGATTCTTTATCTTTTTCTGCCCATCTCCTTCTAGCCTTATTTTCTTTAACACAAGTCAAGATTGAATTCCCAGTTCTTTTATATTATATTAAAGTTAAAAGGTGGAAGAGGGTATTCTGTATTCATAGTGCACTTGACATTTTAAAAATATTCACAAGAAAAAGATATTCATGAGGAGGGTGTGTAGGAATCACACCAGCACACGGGTAGCTGCTTTTTAGGCTGGTAAAATCACTGTTGATTTCTTTCCCTTCTATTTTCTATGTTAAAAAATATAATCTGGTTATATTATTTTACAATGAAAAAATTGATGATTCATATTTTAAAATGTCAAAACTATTACATTAATAAGATTAGCATTATTCTTTAAAAGAAGAAAGATTAAATTGCTTTTTTGTAGATGTTTTGTCTTTGTAGGATTTATATAAAATACTTTCTGAATGACATTGTGGCAATAGGAATAGGGAAATTTGATTTATAAGGAAGGATTTGATTATCTTCCTAGGGTTTCATTTTGAGGCTCCTGAGGACTCTACTAAAAAGTTTTATAAGTAAGTAAAAACATTTTCTCTTAAGAGGAGTGCAGAAGCTGAATAAAACCCACTATTTTCCCATAATTTGTTTGACTTTGTAGTAAGTTAGACCTACTTTAAATTCTTGCTTAGCCAATTTCTGGCCACATTTTACCACAAGAGTCCATGTTGAATTCCCTGGTCCTCATTTCTAGGATAATCTCTACCTGGTAAGCCTGTTGTACTTGGTGTAAATAAATATATATAAAAGTACCAGATCTTGTCCAGAAAAAAGGTTACATGACAGATGTGGAGGCCTTAACTGACTGTACTCAGCAGGCCTTAAATGACACAACAGCTGGTCTCTCTCTCTTAAATAAAGAAGTAAATTAACGAGACAGGCCCACCTCCAAAATCAGGGGGGATTAGACATGCTAACAGTATAGTAGGTACTTACACAACTGTAAACACTAAATGTGTGTATGCTCCTGATCTTTCTGCTAATATCTCAATAGCTGTTCACCATATCAGATGGCAAATCAATAACATGTCAGACTCTACAGTTCTCTGGACCTTATCTTCATCCTCCCCATGGGAAGCCATCTCTAGCTCCTCTTGGTAGAAATCTTTGTTAACTGTACTCATAATTATCCTAACAATTCTATTATTTGGCCCTGGCATACTTGTTTCTTTGCTTTATCTCCTCTAGACTTAAAGCTGTACAACTACCCAAGATAAGAATGCCTGCCATCTTAGATACAACCTCTGCAGAGTATCCCTGACTGCTGGCCAGCAACTGTGACCCCCTTCAGCCTGAAGAAGCTAGATTGGTCATTGTCCATTACTCCCTCATGACAGTCCAGGTTACTTCTTCAGAAGGGGGAATGTTACAGGCTACTGAGTTAGATAGAAATAGTACAGGCAGTCAGACAGGGCTGGGAGTCAGTGCAGGAGACCAGCTATCTTGCAGTCTTGGAGGAGACAGGTACTTCCCACTCTAGGCCAGACCTCTAGACAAAAAGTCAAACAAATACACTCACATCCTAGGGACTGATATTCTAAATAGGTCTCTATCACCCTGAGGAAGCCAAGAGTCACTACCCACGTCCTTCAGCCAAAGGCCCTGTTCTGTATTCCTGCCTGCTTGCTGTGTGACTCACTTCCTCACTTGATCCTGAGTAATCAATTTTATCAATGAATTTTACCTGAGTTGTTACTCTCATAATCTTATTGGTTGACCATAGTTATGTCCCTTGAGAGTTCCCAGTTTTCCCCACCTTGGACCCTTGTGGTTTTGCTCTGTAAAAATCCCTAGGAAAGACAGAGTCCTTGGCAACCTACTCAGGATCCCTTCTGTCTCTCTCTTGGACAGAGACTTTATCTCAATAAATACGTTCTTCTCTTAACCTCCATGGTTCCTAAAATTCATTCCTCAATTCTAGAAAGCATGAGCTTGTACTGGACATCTAGTAGGTTGGGAGTTTTTTCCCCTATAGCAGTAGGGTGGCTTTTTCAGAGGTGCTTAGATCTAGAGCGCGTGACACTAGAATTGATTCATGGTGCAATGCTAGGCTCAAGGGTACTGGGATTAAGGGTGTGGGTGCCAACTGCCCTAAGTAGCCTGGATAAGATATAATGGGTAGAAATTGCTGTGGTTGTCCCTTGTCTCTTTGTTGGCTTCTGCCCACCATGAACTGTCTCTCCTACAGTGCCGGTCTATCATTCCACCCTGCCTTAGAACTAGCTGATTAAGAACTAAAACCTTTACAAACTGTGAGCTAAATAAGCCTTTCTTCCTTTAACTTTGGTGTCAGGCAATTTTCTCAGCAGTGAAAAAAGTAACTAAGACAGCATCTTTACTGTGTCAGCAGAATGACCAAGGAGGCTCCCCCAGTTCTGAAGTCACTTTAGAAATACCCTGGAGGACCTCCTTCCCCTGTACTGTATTGCCAGGCCCCTAGCACCCATGAATTTTCATATTTCACACATGTGCCCCTCTCTGGCTGTTACTATAATTCTAAGGTATATTGGAGGATAGTTGGATCCAGACAACTTGTGAGTCTCTTCTCATCCTTAAGACTGAATAATTCTAAAACATGATTTTAAAATATTAGCTTCTTGCCCGGCATGGCAGTGTATGTCTGTAATCTCAGCCCTCGGGAGGCCGAGGCAGGGGAATTACTGTGACCTGAAGACCAGCCTGAACTACCTGGAGAGAACCTGTGTCAAGAAACAAAACAAAAAATTAG